CCACATCTCCCCCAATCTCACCGGGTGGGAGCTAACCAGCTTGGAGCCCTTGAGTGCACACTGCGCTCTTATTGGGATTGCCTCAGTGTGCTCGGTGGCTAGCGGACAGTGAGCTCACCATGGAAGATAAACTTTCCAGGGACGTGGACCTAGGTACCTCCTTCGATTCATCATCCTTATCACCTTCCTGTTCAGGCTCAGAGACCCTGTTTGAGGGGGACCCCAAAACCTCAAACGAGGGGAGCTGTACTGACTGTGACTCTAAGGGTCCCCACTCCTCCCAGCAAGGGGGAGGAGAGCTGCATGGGGGCAGGACAGAGGAGAACAAGAGGAAGATTTTGCATGTCCTATAATTTGAGAATTATTTTTAATGCATACATATAAATGTAAAATGCTGTAATTTGGGGGGGCGGGGTTGAACGGATTAATCATTTTTACATTAATTCTTGTGGGAAATGTTGATTCGGTTGTCGAACAGCATTTTCTGGAACAGATTAAGTTCGAGTTCCGAGGTTCCACTGTACCAGTAATAATAATAATAATAATACTGTATTTTAAAATTATTTTGAATATCTTTACAATTTTAAGCTATGGTTGTTCACACATCCATTTGTCAATGATATTTGAGAAAGTATTTTTTGATATTATCATCTAATTTGTCATTAGACTTACTCACTTGCTGATTCTGCTTTTTTCCCATCATCCAGTGATTTTTGTTAAATGCCTACAGCTTTCATATGCTGCCCAGCTGTGGTTTAGTGTGTTACACACTTGCTCATGTCATACAACATTGAATTACAAAGTTATGTAATATACATTAGCTGCATTGAATCACAAGGCAAAATAATAGTGGGTGAGGACTGCCTATGGAGTCATGACAATAGCATTTAAAGACAAGGGAAAAAGACAGGCAGGAATAGACAATAAACCAGGAATTAACCACAGCATTGCAAATTTTAGGCTGGAATTGCCAAATTGGAAATGTTCTACAATTCCCAGTTTAATATATCTGATCTTTTGTCTATCTGGTGATTTTTATCAGATTCTATGAGAATATTTTTTTTTAAAAGGGACTGTATTTTATTTGTTTATTTTATAAAACTATAATATGATGCTATAGCTTGTATATAGGGTAACAGCTTGTTGATACGAGTAATATGGTTGCAATTTTTCTTTTTTATATAAACCTACAGTTGTGCTCAAAAGTTTGCATACCCTTGGAGAATTGGTAATATATGTACCATTTTTAAAGAAAACATTAGTGAGTAGGCAAAACACATTTCTTTTTATTTCTTACAGTATTTCAATTCTACTGTAGGTTATAACAGAATGGCACAATCATGAAAAAACATAGCAACAAAGATAATAAATTAAATGGCCCCTGTTCAAAAGTCTGCATACCCTTAGTTCTTAAAGGACCACTATAGTGCCAGGAAAACATACTCGTTTTCCTGGCACTATAGTGCCCTGAGGGTGCCCCCACCCTCAGGGTCCCCCTCACGCCCGGCTCTGGAAGGGGGAAAGGGGTTTAAACTTACCTTTTTCCAGCGCTGGGCTGGGAGCTCTCCTCCTCCTCCTCCTTCCTCCTGGGCTGAATGCGCACAAAAGAGCTGCGCTACAGACGCTGTGTCAAGATAGAAAGCATTTACAATGCTTTGCGATGGATGCGCGCTCTCACTGTGAAAATCACAGTGAGAAGTAGGTTCTCTAGTGGCGTCAATGAGACAGCCACTAGAGATTAGGGGGCATAAGATTCATAAACATAGCAGTTTCTCTGAAACTGCTATGTTTATAAAAAAAATGGGTTAACCCTAGCTGGACCAGGCACCCAGACCACTTCATTAAGCTGAAGTGGTCTGGGTGCCTAGAGTGGTCCTTTAATACTGTGTATTGCCCCCTTTAGCATCAATGACAGCATGCAGTCTTTTGTATTAGTTGTCTATGAGGCCCCTAATTCTTGTAGGTGGTATAGATGCCCATTCGTCTTGGCAAAATGCCTCCAGGTCATGCAAAGTATTTGATCGTTTTGCATGAACCACACGTTTGAGCTCTCCCTAGAGTGGCTCGATGATACTAAGGTCAGAACACTGTGATGGCCACTCCAGAACCTTCACCTTTTCTGCTGTAACCACTGGAGGGTCAACTTGGCCTTGTGCTTGGGGTCATTGTCATGCTGGAAAGTCCAAGAGCGTCCCATGCTCAGCCTTCATGCAGAAGAATGCAAATTGTCTGCCAGTATTTTCTAATAACATGCTGCATTCATCTTGCCATCAATTTACACAAGATTCCCCGTGCCTTTAGATCTCACCTCCCCACCCGCCCCCAAACCATCTGTGAGCCACCAGGATGCCTCACAGTGGGGATGGTATTCTTTTCACTATAGGCCTTTTTGACCCCTCTCGAAAAATAGCGCTTATGGTTTTGACCATAAAGTTCTGTTTTGGTCTCGTCACTCCAAATTATAGTGTGCTAGAAGCTGGGAGGCTTTTTAAGATGTTGTCAGGCATATTGTAACTGGGCTTTTTGTGGCATGCAGCTCATTTTTGTTCAAGTATCGTCATATTGTGCTCCTTGGAACAACCACGCTGTCTTTTTCCAGAGCAGCCTGCATTTCTCCTGAGGTTACCTGTGGGTTTCTCTTTGTATCCCGAAGAATTCTTCTGACAGTTGTGGCTGAAATCTTTCTTGGTTTACCTGGCCTTGCCTTGGTATCAAGAGATCCCCGAATGTTCCACTTCTTAATAAGTTATTGAAAAGTACTGACTGGCATATTCCAGGCTTTGGATATATTTTTATATAATTTTCCATCTTTATAAAGTTCCATTACCTTGTTATGTGGGTCTTTTGACAGTTCGTTTCAGCTCCCCATGGCCCAGTATCTAGGCTGCTCAGTGTATCCACGTGAGAGCTAACAAACTCGTTGACTACACAGACACTAACTGCAATTTAAAAAGCCACTTTAATTGCCATTTTAACAAGTGTGTGCCACCTTGTGTGTCTGTAACAAGGCCAAACATTCAAGGGTATGTAAACTTTTGATCAGGGCCATTTGGGTGATTTATGTTATTATGATTTTAAAAGGTGCCAAACAACTATGTGATTGTAAATGGCTTTATATGGTCACTATCCTTTCAATAATTTTTTTAAAATATTATTATTGACACTGCTCTTACCTTTATTAATGTTTCATTAAAATGTACATATAGTATATGGAGTTTAAAGGCACAGGTTGGCAGGCAATAATTATAGTGAGTGTGTGTGTATAGCTTTGCAGGAAAATTGAACTGGTTAAGAATCTTGGTGTTCACTCTAACTATAACCCACAAATGGTTAACTCAGCTCCTGGGCTGCAGTTTCCATATTGAGTAGTGTGTAACAGGAGAAGGTTGACCTAAGCTTTTGTGCTTGTCTCAGAACTAGATCATAAAATATGTTTTTTCAATACGTAGCTCTGTTTTCTCGTTATACCATGTAATACAATTTTTTTAAACCTCTTAACAACCAATGATAGAATAATACTGTCAAACGAGACCAATTTTACAATAACCAAAAGAGAAAAGAGGGTTGCACTTAAAGGACCACTATAGTGCCAGGAAAACATACTGGTTTTCCTGGCACTATAGTGCCCTGATGGTGCCCCCACCCTCAGGGTCCTCCTCCCGCCCTGCTCTGGGGAGAGGAAAGGGTTAAAACTTACATTTTTTTTCCAGCACTGGGCGGGGAGCTCTCCGCCTCCTCCCCTTCGGCTGAATGCGCACACGCGGCAGGAGCTGCGCGCGCATTCAGCCGGTCTCATAGGAAAGCATCTACAATGCTTTCCTATGGACGCTTGCGTCTTCTCACTGTGATTTTCACAGTGAGAAGCACGCAAACGCCTCTAGCGGCTGTCAATGAGACAGCCACTAGAGGATTTGGAGGCTGGATTAACCCATTTATAAACATAGCCGTTTCTCTGAAACTGCTATGTTTATAAAAAAAAGGGGTTAATCCTAGAGGGACCTGGCACCCAGACCACTTCATTAAAAACCACAGGGTGGGCTCAGCATAACCCATAGAACATGTATCAAGGAAAAAAATCTCAGGCACTCACTGTGACTGCAACGTTTCGATCGGTATCCAGGTCTTTATCAAGCTAAAGACCTGGGTACAGGCCGAGACATTGCGGTGTCCATTAAAGCTCCTTAATTTATGTAAGTGAGTGCCTGAGATTTTGTTCTTGATTTTACAATAACGTCTCCCTATTTTAATAGTATCAAAGCGCTAGAGATCTGCAAATGCTAATTAAGCTGGATATTCCATAATGGCATCGGGAGGGTTACTAAAGTGAGAATTGCCAGAAATTCAAAGTGAGTTTCACATTGAAGGCCAAAATAGTCAAACTGGAAAAAATCAGTAACTTCAACCACCATTACCACTTCTGCTTTTAGAAGTGGTCGTAGTGGTAGGAATTTGTATTGGCAGCATTACTGCTTGAAACACTGCACATACAGAGTAATCTGCAATTTTGTAATGGGGAGCTAGTTGCACCCCTGCACCCCTGGCATACATGATTTAGGCTGTTCCAGGCTGCCTATTGTTAATTCTGTGCAAATATTAAGTCAGTCAGTGCTCTCTGCACCCTGGCAACAGACATAATGAGCTTATCCCTTGGAAATGGTGCACGCCTGCCAGGGAAAGCCTATATCTCCCCTCTCTTATTCATTTGTGCTCATCCCACCTCCATTTAGTCCTTAATGCTTGTCTGTTTATTTTATTTAGTTTATTACCCTTCTTTTTTCAAACCCTCCCTCTCCTCCCTGCTCAGAGTGCACACTTGTGTTCTGAGCAGGTTAAACTGTGCCATAAAATGCTTTTCTTTGAGGGAAGGAGTAATGTCAGTGGTAAGCAATGCTGGGAGCTTTCTCCAGCACTGGATTTCAGGTAAGTGTGGTGAATGCTTTATTTTGCAGCTTTAATTTAAAATTAAAGAGATACTTTTTTAAGCCTTTATTCACTGTGGTGGGGGCTCGAGGGAGGGGGAAAGCAGAGGGAGCTGTAGTGCCAGGAACAGCTTTGTATCCCTGACACTAAATGTCCCTCTGCTTTCCCCCTCCCTCGCGCCCCCACCACTGTGAATAAAGGCTTAAAAACCCTTTATTTACTTACCTGATCCCAGCACCGTTGTCCCTTGGCTCTGGGTCACAGCTCCAGCTCCTCCAATGTCACTGGTCGAGGGGCCGCTAATGCGCATGCGTTGTAACTGCTGCATGGGGTTTCCTATTGGGAAATATCTGATGCAGGATGTCCTCATGCAAAGCCTGTGGACATCCCACGCCAGTTAGTGGACCAAGTTCTGTACCATTCCAGAAGCGTCTCTAGTGGCTGTCTGGTGTAAGCTATTAGAGGCTGTCTTAGTGCTGCAATGTTTTACATTGCAGCACGAAGTTCGATAGAGACACTGCACCCAGACCACTTAAATGAGCTGAAATGGTCTGTGTGCCTATCGTGCCCCTTTAAGAGATGGGGGGATCAAGTGAATAATACCCAACATAACATTATAAATGAAAACAAGGTTTGTTAAAATTAGTTGAATAACCCTTACGCCCTTAAGGACACATGACATGTGTGACATGTCATGATTCCCTTTTATTCCAGAAGTTTGGTCCTTAAGAAGTTAAACTTGAAGTTCAAATTAAATTCTTGACAATTTTCACTTTACTGACGAACATTGCGTGTCTTTGGGGACCAAACTGCAATGACAACGTGAAATATTATCAGTCTTTAAAGGGTTAATTGTTTTATTGTTTGTCATTTTAGGCCATGTAAAAAAGTATATCTATGTATGAGTTGTTAATATGGCTGGTATTCCACATTGTAGAGAACAGAGAAAGCATCTTCTAAGAAAACTGAATTGTACAATTTAGGCTAAACTAGCCAAGGCGTGAATATAGATGAATTAGATCATTTTCCGCTATGTTGGCCTTAAAGGAACACTATAGGGTCAGGAACACAAACATGTATTCCTGACCCTATAGTGTTAAAAACACCATCTAGCCTCCCTAAATATAACAAAATCTTACCTTTATTACAGTCTGCTGCTGCTGGCTCCGCCCCTGATCTCCCTGCTTGGCTGACATCATCAGAAGTAATTCTCTCAGCCAATCATACTGCTTTCACATTTGAAACCATTGGATTGGCTGAGACTGTCAATGAAGCAGATCAGGGACAGAGCCAGCACAAGCCAAACACAGCTTAGGACAATCTGCATCTCCTCATAGAGATGCATTGAATGCATTTCTATGAGGAATGTTTAGTGTCAACATGCAGAGGGTGGAGACACTGTCCCAGGAAGCACCTCTAGTAGCCATCTGAGGAGTGGCCAGTGTAGGTATCCCTTGGCTGTAATGTAAACACTGCGTTTTCTCTGAAAAGACAGTGTTTACTGCAAAAAGCCTGAAGGGAATGATTATACTCACCAGAACAAGTACAATAAGCTGTAGTTGTTCTGGTAACTATAGTGTCCCTTTAATATTGTTTTTCAGTTCACTACAATTTGGTAAATCAATGATTATGTCAGCATGGCATGCCCTACCTATATATAGCCTACAGTTAATTCAGTGGGCCATTCATTTTTGAAATAGGATCATACATGCTCATTCATTTTATATTTATATTTATATATATATATAGACCCACAGTTAATTCAAGGGGTGTTTCTGTTTTGAAATATGATCATACAAAGTCATTCACATATGTACACAGGCAAACACAAAGAGTCAATAAGAGATGTGGACACACAAATGCACACATGCAGATACAGCCTGAAAAACTCTCATTGATGCCAAAACTAGGTGCAGTGACACACATACAGAAAAACACAGATACAGCAATTCACACTCATTGCAGGGCCGAGGGACATTTCACTGCTTTGCAAACCGAGCACAACACTCCAGTGTCTCATTGCCCCAAGATAGAGAGAATCGAAGGCTGCAGCACTGTTGGCTGCCCCTGGTGTTCACTATAGCCAGTCTAGGCCCTGCCACAGTATGTAGTTTAACATAGCAGCAATAAGCTCCCTGGTGCAGTGGAGCCCCCTGACACTGGAAATAGTCTAATGAATGTGCTTTGCCGAATCCATTGTGTAATGCATTATAACAGAGTTGAGGAATGGGTCACTGAGCACATTTTAAAATTGGAAAAATGGGTCATGAAGCTAATGCCATATATATAACTTGAGCTCTGTCTAAAAAAGGTCAAAACATCAGTCTTTAGGCATAGTATTAAGTTGTTGTCCTTTCTCTGTAAGTGTCTCTTGCATTGTGTTTTGCTTGTTTGGTAGAATAGAGAAAAGGATTGCTGTGCATACTTATCGTGCCAAGTTGTCACCACAATACACCACACCCTGCAGTCTTCCACATCAGTACACTCTGTTCTAATGCTATTCATAAGTTGGTCAACAGCTCAGAATACAGAATGAGCTCTGAACTAGGATGTCAGCATATCACATAAAGGAGAACTACACCATTCTTTATTTGAAGTAAAAGATATTGGGATTTATGTATAAAGGCGTTCAATTTTAACCTGGCTTTTCTTCAGCTTTTGCTATTTGTGCCTATTTATGTCTTTACATGTGCCAAATTATTCTTTACTGATATTAGTTTGTCATATTTTGCATTCCATCTTTATTTCTTTTTATAGTTAACAAATTTGTCATTCCCAATTTATTAAAAAAAAAAAAAAAAGCATAAACATGTGACTAGTGATGTCCTGAACGGTTCACCGCAGACGGCGAACATATGCGGTAAACTTTGACCCTGTACCTCACAGTCAGCAGACACATTCCAGCCAATCAGCAGCAGACCCTCCCTCCCAGACCCTCCCACCACCTGGACAGCATCCATTTTACATCCATTGTGAAGCTGCATTCTTAGTGAGCTGTCCAGGAGGTGGGAGGGTCTGGAAGGGAGGGTCTGCTGCTGATTGGCTGGAATGTGTCTGCTGACTGTGAGGTACAGGGTCAAAGTTTACCGCATATGTTCGCTGTCCGCGGTGAACTGTTTGGGACATCACTAGATGTGACTATATTTTCCAACATATTTTATTAGAGTGGTGGGGTTCAGTGATGGGTAAGCAGCTGTCACGTTTTTTTTAATTTTTAAAAAGTCCTTTAAATTGTGAATGTGTCTTTTTCTCCCTAGTACTATTACCGACTACAGTTTTTATGCGTAACGTCCATTGTTAATAAAAGATGGAAGTTCCCATGTGTGTAAGCTAAAAGAAACTCTCCAAGCACCATAATCACTACAGTGCTCTGTAGTAGTTATTGTGCCACAGAGCACTGTGGCCCCCAATTGTAAGTAGTCAAAGCCATTTTAGAACATTTTGACTTCTTACTGGGGTCCACTTGGCGATGCTTACTGCCACTCGGCAGGTGGATGTGAGAAAATAGAGCTCCTGGTAGATCTCCTAAACTCTGTGCACTGCGAAAGCATCCCCAAGGAAGGCAGCCACTAGATGTGTGTTTGGCCCTCCAATCAAAACATTGCCGTATCTACTAAAAAATGGACTGTTAATGAACTACACCTTTAATAAAATTCTCTTGGGTTTACAATCGTAACAAAGCATACGGTTTTATGGGGAGCAATAAAGTTGGATTATGTAACTTTGAAATAAATAAAATCTCTACCCTTGGCAACAACATTTATTAAATAAATACTATAGGGATAAGCTTGCCATTTTGATTTCTCATGCAGACATTTATATAGACGTATTAACTCCACTGGTAATTATTTAACACATAAATCACGGTTTGCACAGCAAGAGAAATAATACGTTGATTTCTTAGAGGCAATAAAAGTATACTGTAGTTAAGCAGGGCCCTTTTTTATATTATTTGCAGGAGCAGTGTAATAAATCACTTAGTCACCATCCACTCTCATTAGTGATATTGACAGCATTTCTAGTGCCATACCTGTGATGGCTGAGGTCAGAACCTTGGAACCCTTGGAACACACATGGAACCCTGCTTGGCAACAAGAAATACTGTTTGGGTGCTGATGGCTGTCCTTTGTACGGCATATGTTGGTGAAGTGTATTTCCCATGATGCCCAGTCAGCCTATACCCTTTTATCCAGTTAAAAGGGTTGTGGCCTATGAAGAACAAGGGCGTTGGCAGCCCTAGATATTTTAATATGTGCACTAGGGCTTGGTGACCTAGTGGCCCATGGAAGAGGGGACATTTATTGGTAAATCTCCCCCTGATTAATCAGGACTCCTATGCACCTTTGTTTGATAATGTTTGGGGTGGGAGGACCACCGTGCCTTCCTCAATTTCTAACTTGGGCCTGGTTCTGATGACTGGCCAGTGGAATTATCCCTAGGCTGTAATGTAAACACTGCACTGTAAAAAGCCTGAAGGAAATTATTCTACTCATCAAAACAAATACAATGGGCTGTAGTTGTTCTGGTGATTATAGTGCTCCTTTAAACAAATCCAACTGCGAGGCAAAAGGACTTTTGATGTGTGTATGGCATATAAAAAAATTGCAAAACATGGGCTACCACTGAACATATAACAATGGGAATAAAAACAGGAAAGTTAGGAATATGATGTGCTTGTGTGTGTTATCTAACAGATTATTTTTTTTATTGCCCTTTTTCCGACATGCTGCACCTGAGCACAGTGCACAAAATATATATATTTTTTATTTTAATCTTTTCCTATGAATGTCTCTTTAGGTTTTATTTTTCTCAGTGTACTTGTGTTCTAAAGCAGGTTTAATGTGTCTAAGGGGGTAGAATAACATTGCCGAACTCCCAATAATTTACGTGTCAAGTGTTTTCTTTTCCAACCAGCAAAACTCCATTAAATCTGAGCCCTGGTGTCTTGTCAGGGTAATTTAAAATTTAAAGACAACAAATGCGTTGATCCTTTTGCGTAATTGTCAGACCTTTACGTATTTTCTTTCTTAGCCTGTGATAACTGCTCTTGGCTCCCCAGATGTTTCTCAACTACATTTCACAAGATGCCCAGCCAGCCTTATGTTATCTTCTCTTTTTGTGTCTTTTGGCTCGGTGGCAAGGCAAATTCTGCCAGTTTCAGGTTGTTTTGGTTGAACATCATGGGAATTGCTGTC